TCATGGGATCTAGAGTCAATGTTGAGGACTCTCAGAGCATCTCCCTCCTGACTGTATACCACTGTGCCACGACCTCTGCTGGATCTGTCCTGCTGGTAGGACAGGGATGGTGAGGGTAGTGTCTGGGATAATGTCTGTAAGGTATGATTCCGTGAGTATGACTATGTCAGTCTATTGCTTGACTAGGCTGTGAGACAACTGTCCCAATTTTGCTACTAGCCCCCAGATGTTAGTAAGGGGGACTTTTGCAGGGTCAGCAGGGCTGTTTCTACCATTGTCTTTTCCAGGGCTTAGCTCGATGCCAGGTGGTCCATCCAGTTTCATTTGTAGGTTGAGACTTCGTAGCAATTAATACAACTTGCTAGGCCATCTTAGAGGGCAGTTAAGATTCAACCACATTGCTGTGGGTCTGCAGTCATATCTGAGCCAGATCGGTATGAGACAAATTTCCTTCCCTGAAGGACATCCGTGAGCCAGGTGGGTTGTTTCTGACAATTAGCAGTGGGATCAAGGTCAACATTAGATTCTTAAGTTCAGGTTTTTATCGAATTCAAATTCCACCATCTGTTGTGGTGGGATTTGAAACCAGGGTCCCAGAATAATTGCTGACTTTCTGGATTATAGTCTAGTGGCAATAGCATTAGGTTGCTGAACAATGGTTTGATTAATAAAACTCAATATTCTGTTAGCTTCATAGATTCCTGTTGTTAATTCCAGGTCCTGGAGGTCCATACTCTCAGGTTTATCAACAGAATTGAAACATAAGTTGACCTTTAAGAAATCAACAGTTCTCCTCTGCTGTTGGCTTTCCTTATGTGCTCTGTCTGTCAGTCAGTACACTCCTATCTAATTGACTCGCTGGATCTCCTCAGATTGACATACCTGTTTGCAAAACTGAGAGATTTTGGTATTGTCTGTTAGGAAGTCTGGCCATGGCTGGATGGAATGGCCCTTGGCCCAGGTTTATCTGTAAAACAGACAGGAAAAAGATGGACAGGGTGAACTTTTTTCCATATATGTTTTGTCAACAATGATTGAAGAGCAATAGGGGAAATCAGAAGAACAAAAGGTGACCTTGGTAAAGAAGGCTATTTACAGCAGCAGCTGATTTCCCATTCAGGACTGGATGCGCTCCAAAATACAGGGATTTTCAATGCCAATCACATTGCTGGGAATGATCTTGTAGATAAGAACAAATGTAAAGTTGCTGAGTGCTGGGCCGGTGCTCCTCCTGTCCTAGCCAACTTCTGCAGTGCTCCAGCAAGGTTCAGTGCAAACTGGAAGAACAGCCTCTCATTTTCCGCTTGGGCACCCTGTAGCCTTCAGGATTCAATATGGAGTGGGATAATTGTAAGGTCTGAGACACCTCCTTCCATGTCTTTTACCAACCCCACACCCCAGATCCTGTCCTGAAGTGGGTTGCTTCGGCATAGCTAATCCACTTTCACCTACTCATAGACGCTATTAGCACCTATCTAGCTTCTCTTCCTTAGCTTACTATCAACAATCCCTTCCGCCCACCATGTCTGTGCCAACCATGATGCCATTCTAAACTAATCCCATCTGCCTGCACATGGTCCAAATCCCTCTATTCCCTGCTTGCTCATGAGTCTGTTTAAATACTTCATAAACGTTGTTATTGTATCTGCTTCTTCCAACTCCCCTGGCAATAAGTTCCAGGCACCTACCACCCTCTGTGTAAAATACTTGGCTCGTGCACCTCTGTTAAACTTTCCCCTTCTCACTTTAAACCTATGACCCTTAGTATTTGACATTTCCACCGTGTGAAAAAGACTCCAATTATCCACCCTCTCCATGACTCTCATAATTATACATACTTCTGTCCAGTCACCCCTTAGCCTCTGATAATTTAGAGAAAACAATCCAATTTTTCCAATTTCTCCTTATACCTAATTCATTCCAATCCAGGCAACATCCTGGTACCCTCCCCATAGCATCAATATCCTTCCTATAGCTGGCAACCAGAACTGCACACAATGTACCAAAAATGGCCTAACCAAATATAACTGCTACATGACTTGCTAACTTTTATACTTAATGCCCCGACTGATGAAGGCAAGCATGCCATACATCTGCTTTACCATCTTATCCACTGTGCTGCCACTTTCAGGGAGCTACAGACCTACACCCCAAGATCCCGCTGTATATCATTGCTCCTAAGGGTCCTGCCATTTACTGCCTACTTTCCTATTGTATTTGACCTCACTCCTGACCAGCAGGAGGAGTGAGACTTTCATGGCAGGAGGCTGCAGCAGGGGGTACTATCTTTGGCAGTCAGTGGGAGATGAGGCCAGAAACAACCAGGGAGATGGCACTAATGTTGTCATGGATCAGAGTTGTGACCAATGCATTTCTCAAACTTACTGTGGCCTTTTCTAGCCAGACAGGAGATAGCCACTCTGAATGTACCCAGTCTGATATGTACCTGCTCTGATTCATGTCCACGTTGATATGTACCCATTCTGATATATGCCCACTCTGATATGTACCCACTCTGAAATGTATCCACTTTGATATGTACCTACTCTGATATGTATTCACCCTGAATGTATCCACTCTGATATGTACCCATGCCAAAATATATCCACTCTGATATATACCCACTCTGACGTACCCATTCTGATATGTACCCACTTTGATGTGCACCCACTCTGATTCATATCTACCCTGATAGGCACTCACTCTGATATGTACCCTTACTGAAATGTATCCACTCTGATATATACCCACTCTGACATGTACCCATTCTGATGTGTACCCACTCTGATATGTACCCGCTTTGATGTGTACCTGCTGTGGTTCATTTCCACTCTGATATGCACCCACGCCGAAATGTATCCACTCTGCTTCGTAGCCACTCTGATATACATGCACACTGATACGTACTGACTCTGATATGTACCTACACTATTATGTACTCATTCTGATACGTACCCACTCTGAAATGTACCTGCTCTCATATGTACCCACTCTAATATGTGTCCACTGTGATTCTGCTCCCGGACTGTAATCACGTGAGACTACCCCTGATATTTAGCCTCGATCTTGTCACTGTGCCTATGGCGTCATTAGGCCACCACTTCCACAACCCCTCCATCTGCTTAAAGTCAGACCCTTAGCTGGCTTTACAATCAACAAAGATAGAATTGGAGACTGTGACGTAGTGATAACTTCACCAGAATGGTAATCCAGAGGCTCAGCTTAATGTTCTGGGGACACAGGTTAAAATTCTAGCAGGGCAGCAGGTCGGAATTCAAATTTCATTCACAAAACGTGGAAACTAGTCTCAGTAATAATGATCGTGAAACTATCAGCCATTGCCTGCGGGAAACAATCAAACCCATCTGGTTCATTAATGTCCTTTAGGGAATGAAATCTGCCATCCTTATCCAGTCAGGCCTACATGTGATTCCAGACCCACACAATGACCCACTGCCTCTGAAACTCAATGGCAGCTAGGGATGGCCAATAGAGTCATAGATTCATAGAGCCATGCACAGCACAGAAACAGATCCTTCAGTCCAACCAGTCCATGCCTACCAAGTATCCCGAACTGAACTAGACCCAACTGACTTCATTTGACCCATATCCCTCCAATACTTTCCTATTCATGTACTTATCCAAATGTCTTTTAAACACTGTAACTGTACCCACATCTGCCACTTCTTCTGGAAGTCCATTCCACACTCGAACCTCTATGTAAAAAAATTGCCTCCATGTCTTTTTTTAAATCTTTCTCCTCTCATCTTAGAATATGCCCCCTAGTCTTGAAATCCCTGACCCTAGGGAAAAGACACCTGCCATTCACCTTATCTATACCCCTCATGATTTTATAAACCTCTATGAGGTCAACATCCCACACTTCAGAGGAAAAATTCTCAGCCTATCCAGCCTCTCCAGCCTCTCCTTATAAGTCAAACCCTCTATTCCCTCCAAACAATGTTGGTCCAACCAGCGATGTCCACATCCCATGTGTGAATAAACAAAAAGGCCAAGCAAGTCACTCAATGCTAAGTGGCCATACGGAAATCTCTGTTGAGGACTAATTTCAGGAAGTGCTTCATTTCACTTTCCGTTCTGTTGGGATGGGTCAGGTTGATACAAATGGGACAGGCTCCCTCTCTCTAGAGGACGATACCAGAGGGCAGAGGGAAACACATCACAGGAAAGTCATGGCTGAAAACCATGTTTGGGATTTCCTGAGAATCACATCTTGTAAATGCTCAATTACAGCATCATGCAGTGAAGTGACAAATCAATGGATAATATCTGAAAGGACTATCTTGGACTCTTAAACTAATGTACTCCACTGGTAACTGTTAGAAACAGCTGGTAGGTGTTGATGTTATCTTTACACTTCAAACTGCTAGTGTTCACCTCCCTTTTGTCATTGAGTTACATCTGGTGAATTTCTTTGGTTTTAAAGTGAGAGATGAAATGCTAATGTGCGGAATCAAGTTCAAATTTAGGTCTGTCGGTGTCAGGAACTCCAGCAATCCTTCCTCTGTCCTGCCCCAACATTGGGTATCAACCCTAACCTTCAGCCAATCAGAAGAATCTCTGACTGCACAGTTCCAGACCGGGATAGCAGGAGGTCAGGTTCTGATGAAATTTACAAATTTATGAAATATACAAATTTATGAAATATTCAAATTTCATGGTACATCCCTTTTATCTAATTGACCTGTTTAGACAGATCATGATGCATTTCTGTAGCCATCATATCCTGAGGTGGGACTGGAATTTTCTGGCCTAGAGTTAGGGATGTTACCACTGGACATAAAATCCTCTCCACTTTTATGGTCTATGCTGACTCATGAAAACTGACCAAATTACGTGGAAAGGGTGAAAGTTGTCCACTGAGCTATGAATACTGGAGAGTGTAGGTGAGAGGGAATGCGTAACAATAAAGGTGAAATATTATTATTGTCCAACTCCAGGTGAATGATCAAAAGAATCATGAGAAGTAAATACCTTCCACGTGTCTCATTTGTATTTTTTATTTAAATGTATTTGTTTTTTGTTCAATATAACATTTATCCTAAATGAGTTACTGTATACTTAACACTGAGAGAAACAATTACACCAAATACAGAGGTTTAAGCATTTCAGTTACATCAATGAGGGATCTCTCCCAGGGGTAGACACACAGTTACTGATCTCACTCTCACAGGTCAGATGTATCCACTATTAACACAATGTCAGAAACCTCTCCCTACCTTACAGCACACTCCAAAAATCCATCAGCAAAGTACTGGTTTCAGAATCCAACACCCCCTAGGTTGTTTGCTTGGAAAGGTTGCTGGGCAATGGGAGAAATACCATTGGTGCTGGGTTAGTTGCTGGTGCATTGACCTGGGCTGTAGTCCTGGTTCTGGGAGAGTGATGCGACATAGCTTCCACACCAAGGAGATTATTTGGTCCACTGACCAATGAAGCTGGAGGTAATAGTTTTAAGTTATGAACACAGGTTGCATAGACTCGGCATTTTATAACTTTGGGAATCGAAGATTAAGGCGTGATCAAATTGAGGTGATTGAATTATTTGATAGGATAGATGAAAAGAAACAATTTTTTCGAGTTAGCGAGTCCCAGTGTTTGAGTTAACCCATTCCAGGTTGAAGTCAGAAAGAAACCTTCACACAATGAAGGCAATCTGGACCTCTGTTCTTAAAACCTATTAAGGCAGGAGTCAATTGGACATTGCAAAACTGACAGTCATAGAGTTTTGTTATAGACTCAGATCACAGATCTAGGCAGGGTAAATCTGGATAAGATTCAGGCTTGAGGGACTGAATGGCCTACTTCTGTTACCATGAGTACAGGCCCAACAATGTGGGGACAGTGGTGTAGGCTTTCATACCATTTTCCCATGGCCCTTGTGGATGTTTTTATAGCAATGGGGTATGAGGTGGTTGGGGGCGAGTGAGGAGGCAGTGAGATGGAATGGTAGCACCAATGGAGTGGAACTGCAGTCACTTTGTAGTGATAAGGAGCAGTCCTATTGGCTGCTTTCTTTTTGTACCTGCTGGCATTTCCCCCTAAGCCACATAGCCCATGGTCAATTGCAACATTGCTGTTGGTGAGGCCTCTTCTGGAGTGCTGTGTCAAGTTCTGGTCTCCCAGTTATAGGAAGGATATTATTAAGCTGGAGAGGATTCAGAAGAGATTTATTAGGATTTTGCTGGGAATGGAGGGCTTGAGTTATAAGGAGAGGCTGGGACTTTTTTCACTGGAGCTTAAGAGGTTGAGAGGTGACCTTACAGAGGTTTATAAAATCATGAGGGGTGTAGATAAAGTCAATGGCAAGTGTCTTTTCTCTGGATGAGGGATTTCAAGATAGGGGACAGATTTTTAAGGTGAGAGGAGAAAAGTTTAAAAAAGACGTGGGGGCAATTTTTTTATGCAGAGAGTAGTTCGTGTGTGGAATGAACTTCCAGAGAAAGTGGTGGATGCAGATACAGTTACAACATTTAAAAGACATTTGGATTAGTTCATGAGTAAGAAATGTTTGGAGGGATATGAGCCAAGCTCAGGCAGATGGGACTAGTTTAGTTTGGGATATGTTCGGCATGGACTGGTTGGACTGAAATGTCTGTTTCCGTGCGTATGACTCTATGACTGAGACCAGCACACACTTCCTCTGGATGCCAACAGGGAAGGGACATTGACCCACTTAGATCTGTTCCAAGAATTGCCAGGTAAGGAATGTCAAAAGCTTGATAATGAGTCCATCTCTCTGGAGTGAGCATGAATGATATTCCTTCAGCTCATAGCCTCAGAAAAGCATTAACCCTATAATGACACTTATATTCACCAGTCCTTGTCATCCTCTTGCATGACCCTGTGAGATATGATCTGCATTGAACCTGTCGTAAAGTGAACCCAGGTAGAATCTCTTTAACAAGTTCTTCCACTACAGTTCTGGGTGGGGTTCTCATGTAAAGGTCAGTGAGGCCCCATGCTGTACAAGGGTCTGGGGCCCCAGTCAGCATGCCTACAGAGCGAAGCACTATGCTAGATCTTACTTCATATCAGAAAATATTACCAGCACCAAAAGTAAATTTACATTTTAAAGAGTAACCTTCAAGAAAAAGTTGCAGAAAAAATACAAATTCAAGTTTGAAATACAGTCTTAGAGTGATTCACAGAGTCAGTTCTGAATAATATAGACTTCAGGCCAGATATGAAATATTGTGAATTCTGATTATATATTAATGCTTTGATATAATGATGATTTAATATACTAATCTGATATTGTATTACAGCAGGAATAATATAGTCAGAAAGATTACATTGCTATCTTCTCACACCTTCTCATCCCAAGCTATCTGTCTCCTCTGTCTCACCCACTCCTCATAAACAGAATCATGCATCCCCATCCTCATTATGTTCTTTCTCATTGCTTTTTGCAAGTGCTAATTCACATTGGGGTTTGATTCCTTGCTGGGTGGTAACATCCGGCAGTTTACACACACACATAGTGCTTGAGCTTACATTATGAGAGGAAGCAGTTCATTTGCTCTGATGTGGTCAGGTGGGAGATCGGATATAAGCCTGACCCAGATCTTTCTCAGCATCCACCCAATGCGTTGCTTTTCACTCCAGATCACTGGGCAGTACCAAGACTGGCAAAGCCAGTTGAATTGCTTGATAATAATAATTAACAGTTACCTACACAATTTGTTGTTGAATTTGCATCTAGTTCTGAGAAGCAGAAAGGATTCACTGGAAGTTCAAATACTCACCAAAGCACTACATACGTTTTAGTATTTGTTGGCCAACCTGATGAGAATTAGGTTCTTGTTACAGTCGTAAAATATTCCAGAACATTTGGCCCATTTAAACTATCCAGGCTCTTCGCAGTCAGTCAAGTATTAAAGTTGCTCCCTCTCACTACCTTCTCTGTAGCTGTAACACTATACTCTGCATTCTGTTCTTTTACACTGATGTACTTATGTAAGGGATGATCTGCCTGGGTAGCATGCAAAACAATACTTCTCACTGTATCTCAGCACGTGACAATAATAAACCAAATCAATCAAGAATCTCTTTTTCCTTTGAAAGGACATGTTTGTTTCCCCTTTTGAGAATTACTAACTCAATCTACATCCACCAGTCCCTCAGCGATACCTTTCAAATCACAACAACAGTGCATTTAAAAAAGTCTTTCTCCTTGTCTCTCCTAGTTCTTTCGTCAATTATGCTAAGTCTGTATCCCTCGGTTACTGAAAACTGAAACTATTTCTCTTGATCTGCTCATAAAAAAACTGCACGTAATTTTGAGCACCGCTTTTAAATCTCCCATGACCTTGCTCTGCTGTTAAGAGCTATTGCAAATCCTCCACTCACTGACGTTCCCCAGACCTGCCTGCTCCCCAGCACCCTCTCCAAATGAATAATTTTAGCAATTGAAGACAATGGTCTAAAACATCTAAATAGGGACATTTTAAAATAGCAGCAATCATTTTAACACATTGATTTAAAGAAATAACAATCATGCTATGAGGTAGATTGAAAAGAAGTCTGTCACTGGTGAAACCAATCATGTAAATTATGATATGTTTTTGACTGAGGAAGGCTATAAAATTTAGTGCAAATGGAACAGAACCTCTCTGTCCAGTTTGTGTTCAGCTTGACCACAAACCTTTTCCTCCAGTTAAAATACTGCTCATATTGAGTGCTGTTCTCCCTCAGATCCATTAGGAAGCTGGCCAGTTCCTTCTCAGAGGCAAAGTCGTTCACATGAATGAAGGAATCCGGTGGGACAAACCTTTCATAGTTAGCGCGTGGAGGTCCTAACACCACAGGAACAGACGATCCCATGAAAGAGTTTCTCCATAGCTTCTCCGTGATGTAATCTGTGTGAACGGAGTTTTCAAAAGCCAGGTAGAAGGCATAGTGAGAGATTGTTGGCAGCAGCATTTCGCTGGGGAGGAATTTTCTGGCTGCTCTCCCATAGACATCAATTGGCATGTGCTTGGACAGATTGGCATGCACCTTTGCCCTTAGACTATTCTTGTGATAATTGCTAACAACCCATGTCGAAAGGCGAGATTTCTTTGGCATGGAGAAATTGGTCATTTGTTCACTTTGGTTACTTGGTAAGAGGGTTCCATAAGGGATGAAGATGTCCGAGTCTGTCCTGTAGGTCATAGTCCAGTTGAAATAGCCATTGAATTGATGAATCCTCTTTGTGTTGGTTGGCGATTCCAAAGAAACCCAGAGCCACTTCTGGTTGGGAGGTCTGGCCAGCTGTGGTAGTCTGGAGCTTTTGAGCTGGAGCTCCCTGTGGTGAAACACAACAACATCAGCACGATCAAATATGGACCTGTTGTGTGTGAGAATGCAGTTGGCAACACCATATAAATCCAGGCAAACATCTTCCCTTGGAGTGGAGTTTGCATGAAATGGCCAATGCCAAACCAAGATGACGAGAGGCTCTTGAATCTTCTTGTAGCTTTTCCTAGTCCAGATCACTTGGTTGATGTAACAGTTAATCACAAGCTGCAGCAAATAGACAATCACGACTAGCAGGGCCAGGATTTTGCCCGTCTTCAATGTTGATAACAAGCATAAGTGCAAGACTGCCATGTGCTGGTTTGCCAATGAGGGAACAACGACGGCAGGCTAAATCTTGTAGAAATCTTCGCACCGATGTCTGTTGAGTATGAACTGTTGTGAGCTGTGTCTGTAAAAACACATCAGGGAGATAGTGGTTAATTTGCTGTGCCTTTGAAAGTGCCAGTTTCTCAACACAGCTAGTACGAAAAGGAAGTGCCTATATTTTGCATAGTTCACTCAGAGTTCAGATTGGCATTAAGGCTAATCGATCACTTTATGCAAAATATATTTAGCTCAGTTTATCTGTTTAAAGCCAAGACCTTCACAATGTCAAACACAAATATTTACAAAATTTAGAGGGCACAAATAATTGAACTATCAAAAAAAGTGTCTGGTTTCTAAATCAATCAGGACTGAATGTCAAAGTGACACTGAAACTCAAACAGTGGAAGGAGAATCAAACAGATTTTCCTGACGGCTCCCCACCTCCTTATCCAAGTAATTCTCTTTCCTAAAGCCATACTCCTACTTATTTAGACTGGGGTCAATTCCAACACCCCAAGTATTCTCACCCAAGAGGACAATCTTCATATCTGAGCTCAGGCTATTCCATCACCTAGAGGCATCACTGCTGAGTCCTATCCCTTGCTGGTGCTGGGACTGGATTCAAGCAAACGTTTTGGTCCCTGGTTCATCTTATTTCTCCTCTCCCAATTCACTTCCTCAATGTGCCAAGGTACAGAGTTGTGTTGAGCACAGCAGCTTTACTACTGCACTGGCTGAGACCAGTCTACAGATGACGTACTGGAGATTGAATGTGAAACCTTCCTTCCTGAGCTGGTCCAACACCGATCGAGCCATCAAGACATTCTTACTGTCAGCTAACATTCAAATCAAATCATCTCAAGATTGCAATCGGCAATGATGATTACATTCTTGACTGAAAAAAGAAACATCTCATTCTAAATGTTGCCAATCTTTTATATCTCAGTCTGATTTTATTGGCAAGTTCTAACTCCACCCGCACAGCACTTGGTCTAGAAAAATGAAAACATAAGCTGCTCAATTGCTATGAACCTGTTTGACTAAGCCAATTGGCTGGCTTGAATCAAGTTCACTTGTTGAGTGGCTATTTTGTTCTTAGGATCTCAATTACAATTCTGAAATGTGTGCTAGATAATACACTGAAGGTCTTATCCAGCAACCTTACTTCATTTCGTTGTAACTGCTAGTTATCTCATGCAGCTAGACACACTGGTACTATGTCCAGGAAGCAGCTATGCTGGGAGTCCTGTTGCCTCTGAGGCAAAAGGTTGTGGGTTCACAGTCCACTCTAGTGACTTGAAAACACAGTCCAGACTGCTTAGTGTGGCATTGAAACATTGCTATACTGATGGAGCTGCTGCCTACCAGATGAGACATTAAACTGAGGCCCAATCGACCCTCTTGTCAGGATATAAAAGATACCATGGCACTCTTTGAACTACAACTGCATAATTCCCCATGGATTCTGGTCAATATTTATGACTAAACCAGATTATCTGGCTGTTATTGCTGCGGTTTTTGTGAGATTATCCTATGCACAGAATAGCTGCCATATTTCCTACATTATAACAACGATATACTTCAAAAAGTACCTCATTGGTTGTGAAGTACTTCAGGACAGATCTGCAACAAAATGCAGATTTTGGCTTTTTTCTAGCATTTAACAATTGCAGAATGTAAGAGACCTGGTAAGCTTAAACTATTAAACAACTTTGTTAACCAGTGAACATGTGATATGTTGAAATATTTATCCACTTCCTAATGGAAAACAAACAAAAAGGTTAAATTTAACTCAGAGCTACTCTGTTGGGATGCCTTTTATATTCATATATGTGTAGCATTGTTGTTTCTTGCAATTTTTGCTGTTTTGAGTGGAGAACTACCATTTCTTGTTTTTCCTGTGAAGATTCAAATCAGATTGTCTCACACCTCTCACTCATCCCTTTCAGCATGACACCAAACCAATACTAGACAAACAAGAATATTTTTAGAACTGGGCACAATTTCTGGACTGGGTCATTGATTAGAAACTGTCTCAAAGTGTGACCTGTAACAACAGAAAGAACACCTACCAAAGCATAGTATTATTATTATTTTTTAATTCATCAGAGCAATGATAAGGGAACCATTTCCACAGTCAACTATTGAACATTACCAGGTCTGACTGTGACAGAATAGTGCCTAGCAACATAACTTGCCTTTCTATGCCATCTCACAGTCTCACACTCCAGCCTGTTTTAACCTGGCCTTATCAAGCATAAAAGAATAGTCCAGGCAGGTTGGTTAATGCTCATAGGGAGGTTAGGATTAAGCTGCCTCTGTGGCAATGGCTGTCCTCCCTCCGGTTCGACTAACCTTGCATACTTGGCAGTTAGCTCAGTTGGCTGAATAGCTGGCTTGTGATGCAGAGTGAGACTAATAGTATGGGTTCAATTCCCATGCAGGCTGAGGCTATCCTGAGAGTCTCTTATTCTCAACCTCCCTCTATGCCTGGGATGTGGTGAGCCTCTGATTAAACCACAGTCAGTTGAAACTTTTGAATGGAACCATGGCAACTTCATATTCAAGAAACAATAGCTTGTGACCATGCACTTATGTTGCCTGATTGTGTTCAGGAAAAATTCCTAAGGAAGCATGTGTCCATTCCAATGAAAGAGGATGCACTTTTGGAATTGGTTCTTGGAAATGAAGTGGGCCAAGTATGTGTGGAATGATCTGCCAGAGGAAGTGGTGAATGCAGGCATAGTTATAATGTTTACAAGAGACTTGGATCAGTACATGAATAGGAAAGGTTTGGAGGGAAATGGGCCAAATGTAAGCAGGGGAACTAGTTTAGTTTGGGAACATGGCTAGCATGGACTATTTGGACCAAAGGGTCTGTTTCCATGGTCGAACAGGCAGTGGCATTTCACTTTCAGACCGAGACTGGATTGACGGGGCAGTTCAGAAGAAGGATATCGGTCGCCTTTCTCTCAATTCCTCCTGCGGGAGGTGGAAATTGTCTCTGCCACATCAATACTGAAAGCATGAGATTGCTCCTGCCAAATGGGTCAATGCCTCCATTCAAATCCTATGGCTGAGAAACATCTTGATTGGTTCAGTTAAATGTTGAACCTTGTGTTGCATTTACTGTCCACAAGTTCTAGGGGGTGGGCACTGAACCACAAAAGAAATGAGGCTGCCCACATTGTTGTCAGAAATATTGAGCCCTTCATTGTGGCCTTAGTTGGTCAAAGTCCAGTTGTGGACCGCAGTGAATTTAGGCATTGAGAATCTGTGATTTGCAACATACAAATCCAGACCTTTTTTGTGCTACTGAGCAAATCAAATACTATTTAACTAAAGGTATATGATTTTCTGACATCAAGTGTTGCTTGTGTCCACTCCAGTAGGCAAGGTAAGTAGACAAGGCCAGGGCAGAGGGAATATAGTGTGGTTAAGTATAAAGCTATCCAGTTTGGGATGAGCAATGACAGTGGTGCATTTCTTAACCAGTGACAAACTGTAAAATGTTATGCTCAAAGGCAGTCCATAGGCAATAAGACCTCAACAATAAACCAGCATGGGCTGATAAGTGGCAAGTAATATTCATGCCACACAAATCCCAGGCTATGACCATCTTTTGACCACTGCCCCTTGACATTCAATGGAATTGCCATCAATGAATACCCTTCTATGCGTACATTCTCTTCATCACTGATGCTCAGTAGCAGCAGTATGTACTACATACAAGATGCACTGCAGAAATTCACCCAAGATCCTCTATACAAAAGCCTGGTTCGGCTACAGCTGGAGTATTGTGTCCAGTTCTGGTCGCCTCATTACAGGAAAAATGTGGAAGTGTTGGAAAAGGTGCAGAGGAAATTTACCAGGATGTTGCCTGGAATGGAGGGAAGGTCTTACAAGGAAAGGTTGAGACAGCTAGGGCTCTTCTCTTTAGAACGACAAAGGATGACAGGTGACTTGATAGTGACTTGATTTATATGTGTGTGTGCACATGTGTGTGTGTGTACATGTATGTGAAGGAGAGAGAATGTGTGTGAGTGTGAGAGAGAGTGTATAATATGGTCGGGTCACCTGTAGTGCAACATGAACCCAAGATCCCGGTTGAGGCTGTCCTCATTGGTACCGAACTTGGCTATCAGCCTCTGTTCGGCAACTTTGTGTTGTTGCGTATCCCGAAGTCAGCAGACTCCTCAGAAGACAGAAATGCGATATGACCAATAGGGTACCCTTCGTCATCCAGTACTTCCCGGGAGCGGAGAAACTACGCCATGTTCTTCGCAGCCTTCAACACATTATTGATGATGACGAGCACCTCACCAAGATCTTCCCTACGCCTCCACTTCTTGCCTTCAAATAATCACCAAACCGTAAACAGACCATTGTTCGCAGCAAACTACCCAGCCTTCAGGACAACACCAACCACAACACTATACAACTCTGTCATGGCAACCTCTGCAAGTCATGTCAGATCATTGACATGGACACTACCATCACACGTGGGAACACCACACACCACATACACGGCAGATACTCATGTGACTTGGTTAAAGTTGTCTGTCTCATATGCTGCAGGCGAGGATGCCCTGAGGCATGGTATATTAGCGAGACCATGCAGACGCTACGACAACGGACGAATGAACACAGCGCAGCAATCGCCAGACAGGGATGTTCCCTCCCAGTGGGGAGAACACTTCAGCAGTCAAGGCCATTCGGTCTCAGATCTTCATGGTAGGCTGATGGAGAAAGCGAAGTCGCATGGGGTCCAGGGTGTACTAGCTAGATGGATAGAGAACTGGCTGGGCAACAGGAGACAGAGAGTTGTAGTGGAAGGGAGTTTCTCAAAATGGAGAACTGTGACCAGTGGTGTTCCACAGGGATCTGTATTGGGACCACTGTTGTTGGTGATATACATAAATGATCTGGAGGAAGGTATAGATGGTCTGATTAGCAAGTTTGCAGACGACACTAAGATTGGTGGAGTATCAGATAGTGAAAGGGACTGTCAGAGAATGCAGCAGAATATAGATAGATTGGAGAGTTGGGCAGAGAAATGGCAGATGGAGTTCAATCCAGGCA